AGCGACCCCGCACCACAATTTGATCCAGGATAGACGTCAATTCATGTGTCATCCCTGCATTCATGAATGCCCGAACTGTTGTGCTTACCTCCTCATCTACCTCAGACTCAGGCAGGGCGGTTTGTTGCACCGCTTCCACAAGTCGATCACGATCCTTGGTATCATTTTTCAGGGTTGATGCCCACAGTTGAAGATTCTTCTCCTGTACAAGATAGCGAGCAAGTTGTTTCCACATGCCATTCTTCGTGGTGAGCTCCACCAGTTCCTCACTGAGGTGGCCCTTGCGATAGGCGATGTAGGATAGATTCGGATCACGGTTCTCGCAGTACTTTCCAAGGACTAGTGGTTCGTAGTAGGCGTTTTCAAGTAAAAATTTATCGGGTTGTTGGTCGGTATCGACGTACAACTTTCCCACGGCATTGTGAAGGGCGGGATCCGTCTTCTTCTCCGCCAAACGGGCCTCCAGCCATCCTTGAATCAGACGCAGGCGAGATCGTTCTTCCACGGCTTGCACCAACTCCGCAATGGGGCACATCGTTCCTACAGCATTGAGAATATTCTTGATAAAGTCTTCTCGAGCATTGCAGTCGATGAGGGCAGCCACTACCTCAGGTGTCTTCCCCGGACTCCGACGCTGCAAGTATTGTTCAATAAGCGTCTCGTTGTCCGTATCAATCAAATATCGCACTAGCTCATCTATGTAACCATGTTGATCACATACATTGATGAGTGGCCAAAGATTGGTCAACTTTTTGTTTTTCAAGTAGTTTTTCGTGCGCTCCGGATCGTAGCAGGGGCTTTCGCGTGTCATGCGCTCCAGTTCCTGTGCCTGACCCACCTCTGCTGCCGCCTCAATGTAGCGGAAGTGTACCTCCGGGTCGCGGGTGTATGGTACAATGGCACCAAGATAATAGTAAAGGATGGGGTACAATTTTTGCTCAAGAAAGAGCTCGATAAGTTTGTCTGCTCCAAGAGCATCACTATACTTCGTCGCCACCTGCACAATCACCTTAAAGTTCTCACGATGGTTCTGTAAGAGGTCCCCCAGGCATCGCATGCTATCGGCCTGACTGAGTTTTCCAAAGAATTCCAATATCCACTCCGGATTGAAGTTGCGAGCATGGGAGAGACAACGGCGTATGTTGGAGAGGTTGTCAAGGTCGGGGTCTTGATTCTGCGCCGTGACGTAGCACTCAATGGCGCGCTGAGGAAGTCCAGCTCGTTCACACAGAGGAGCAAGTTTCATGCCATCGTAATAGAGGCAAACACCACGCGCAAATATCTTCTCCGCCACAGAAGGATGAGAATGTTTTAAATTTATTTCCAAAAGTTTCGTCTGGAGGTCTTTTGTCGACTCGTCATTCTTCCCTCGCAAAACCTCAAGGATAAACTCCGTCGCCTGCTGAATCTGCTGAGCCGTCACAAACATATCCACCACTTCATTTGGGTCCACTACTGGGGTGTCACCCAAGTCACGATGGAGCATCAGTGCCAGGCTCACGGCATTCTGTGGATTAACACGAATAACATTATTCAAAATGACACGCCAAT